TGTTTCTTACCTCTTATTTTACAATTTCCAGATAACGCATTACCAATAATTTTGTTTTTCATCAGAAGTAGCCATGTGGACTCCCAGCAGGCAATTTTAATATCACTCTTTTATGTATAAACAAATGTGTATGTTGGCGGGTAAAAGTGATATTCTTTTTTTTTTTTCCCCCATACCAGGGATTGAACTCAGGGGTACTCGACCACTAAGCCACATTCCCAGCCCTATTTTGTATTTTATTTAGAGACATGGTCTCACTGAGTTGCTTAGTGCCTCGCTGTGGCTGAGGCTGGCTCTTGAACTCGCCGTGTTCTTGCCTCACTCATTTTCCGAGCTGCTGGGATTAGAGGCCCGTGTCACCATGCCCTGCAAAAGTGAGATTCTTTTCATGTGCTTCCCACCTTGGGAAGCAGGAGTTAAGTGCTTCAATAGGGCAAACAGTTTGTATTCTACAGTTTACAGATTCTTGGAGTTTAGTGTTGAGGCTTGTGTTACCCTTCTGGAAAGTGGTGAAAAACTTGGAACTAAATTTCTAAATATTGCCTTTTCCCCTTTGACTAACAAGTTAGAGTCCTTGCACTCTTAGGTGACTTTTCACCACATCACCCAGCACAGAACCTGTGAGGAAGGGGAGGGGAAGTACAGGTCTTATACATCTGGATATCAAGAATATAGATCACCATTTCCCAAGGCATGTTCCTGAAACCTTATCCATGGATAATATTTCAAAATAGGTAGTATTTGAGGACTTTTTAAAAAGTCAAAATTATATGTTGTATCATGTTTGCATAAATATACATAGCACAAATTAACAATATTAATGGCTCTGAGATGTTCCCAATTTAAAAACTTAAAACCTTGTTTTATCTAGTATTTTTTCAAATTTGGCCACAGCATACTTTCATCTTTTTTTTTCTCAAAATATCTATCACACAGTGATCTAGTGTATTGGTGTTTCTTGGAATATGCTTAGGAAAACACTGACATAGATCACTTACAGTGCTGGTTCTTTGTGAGGAGAGGAAATGATTTCGTCTTCTGGGGAATACTCAGAAAATTTCGGAAGGCATTTTTGGTTAAGTAGGGGATATTACTGGCAGGTAGTGGGTAAAAGCTAGGGATGGTCCTAAACATCCTGCAATTCATGGGACAACCCATCTCCATGATGAAAAAGAATTATCTCTCTTCGAATGCCAACAGTACCTTCGTTGAGAGAACCTAATCCAGGTACAGCTGGATTAGGGATTTAGGTGATCTAGAATCTCTGGGTTGGCAGCTAGCACTCTTCATTCACCAGATAGTCATGTGATTTTTGTCATGCAGATTTCCTTATTAACTTATAGGTTCCAATATGACTTATTAATATAGAATATTCATAATGAATATTCTAAAATGAATACATTGATATTTTCTGGGTACACTACTGGAAAGCTGTTAGGCATATTTAGTCATCATGTCTACTCTGTTCTTTGCAGTTTTCTATGATACATATATATTGTGTAGTATCAATTCACAATATTTAAGTATTATCAAAAACATACATTCTTATATGGTCAATAAATGCAACACACTCTTCTAGACTTTATGGTTCAAATAATTTCAGCAATCAGTAATCTCAAATACTTGATGTATTACTACTTTTCTTTTTAAAGATAAGGAACTCGGTCTCAGAGATGTTAATCAACTGCTCATTTGGATAGGCTGAGACAGAAATCCAAATCCCCAAAATCTCCAGGCCAGTCCTCTTTTCATTATTATGGTATGATGCTGAATCCATTTTTTCATACATAATTTTGCACGTGGCATGAAAGAGTAATTTTAATGCCATAAATATTCATGAATTTGATTTGTATTTCCCAACTGTCTGTGTTTATTCTAAACTCTTAATTTGAGGCTGCAAATGGATAAAGATTTTTATCAAATGTTAGGAGAAAGATATTCTCAGCAGTTTTTTTCTTAACGGAATCTTTCTTGTCAGTCACAGATATATTTAACCAAATCAGAAATAGCGACACATGATAGGAAAATCATCAAGTGCAAAGCAATCATTTCCTTTAAATATTAAGTTTCCATGTCAGAGCAAATAAAGATGCAGGAAATGGTGATTGTGTTTAAACACCAGTGTATATGTTGTAATGATTTTTTTGTTTGTTTAAATCAAGCAGTGAGATGAAGAACAAATTACAAATTAAGTATAAATCTGGGTGGGTTTAGATTCAATTCTAGATTCTGACTTTATCCTTTTCATTAAATGACTTCTCAGAAGTTTACCTCTTCAGAAAAAATATATTGGTATAAAGAGTTGAGCTAAATGATTGCTCGTTGCTGGATATCTAAATTTAAACTCCACAAATGCCTTTGCACTTTGAAAACTCAGATATAGATTATAGGTCTATTTCAGTAGAATACTAAATAGGACCCCAAAATAACTTGATTGTGATAACAATGTTTTTATTATAGCAGATTGTTAAGCTATAAGAAACAACTGAAATGTAAAGATTTGTAACCTCTCATGAAGACAAGGAAGCTTTGTGATCGTTATACCCAATCCTCTATCATTTTTTCCAACTCTTATCATTCACTAAGCAGAAATAAGAGCATGTTTCATGTCCACGATGATTTTGATCAATCCTCAAAAGGGGCAGCCATAAAATAATGCTGACCATAGTTACTACTGGATGATCTAAATATATTCAGAACTTGTCTTTCAAGGTATGTAAATGGAAGTTCATCATTTACTATTAGCAGCAGTGACAAACAGCCCACTCCAGGATAACCAAAATTCAAAAGCTCAATAAAATCAGAGGAGTCATGCCATTTATGGGAATATTTGTTTAACTTCAGGCAATCTAGTCATTCTTATGTACATGGTATGAGAATAACATACCATTTATGTTATTTTCATGATCCTCTGCACATCATGGATTCTATCCCAACCCATGAATGATGCATTTACATAACTTAATCATAACTAGAAAGAATTTCCCACACTGCTCCATGATATTCATGTATTCTTCACCAAAAACAATTTGGCTACAGCTGTAGTTATGATATTGTAATAATCATCTTAAACTCTATCACTTTAAGTCAATCAAGTCAGGATCTGTTTGCAAAATATAATCAAATGTAATTTCATGATTCAGTAAATTGTATGTAAGTCTGCTATCATTGGTTTTCATTTTCTTTTCAATGCTACTATTTCCATTTTTTTCACTGGTAGTTATTCTGACTATTCAAATGTCATTATTGCCTTCTATTGTTATTCAAATGGAGCTGTTTTATTAGATCCTCCAACTCCACATAGAAGGCTTTGCTTCTTCAACAGTAATATTTCTGAAGGAAAATGGAAGTGAATGCACACAAAATTCTGAGCTCTTACTTTATGTTAGGCTAACTCCATGCCTGAAATAGGATTTTAATTTAATCATATCTGAGAAGACCAAAAGGTTTTTATTAGCTACCGCAAGAAAACAGGAAAAATAGCCCTTTTCATGCAGGTTTTTATTTAGTTCAAAGAGCCCATGAAATCATTACTGTTCCACAATGATATATTTAAGATACACTTCCTGACCAAATTAAACTCTAAATTTCTTTGATTAGATAGCAGTCATCATTTTTGTATATTCTTCTCTTGAAAGATAGGATAAATAAAATATTCTATACAAGTATTTGAAATATAGTATTGAATACCAGTTGCATATCAGTTTAAAAATATGCTTTCTAATAGATCCATGGAGAATATAATTAAAAAGGCACACAACCATAAATGCATAGTTGTAGATTTTAGTAGGACACTGGATCACAAAAGAAAATTATCAAAACTAGGTTATGGTTCTCATAAACAAATCTAGCAAATATTGTATTAGTTAATATAAAAATAACTGTCCCTGTTATTGGGGCAAACTTAACAACTGAACTTCTGTTGTATTCTACCAGCAGTTTTTCTATATATACAAAAAGAATATTTTCTATTTCTATGATCAGAGATCTGTTCTCCAGTAGGCAAACCATGGGAACAGAATGAATTAAAATATATAGTGTTTTACTAGAACTACTTAGGAAAGATGAATGAAGAGGGAATAACCTACTTGGAGTTCAGTGGTGATGGAGTTGGATGAGGTTTGGTAAGAAAGTCTCAGGGTTAATATATACTTATCTACCATCTCAGTATACAGAGAAAGCTCTCCCCTTCAAGAGGTTAGAGGCTTGCTGACCCTTCACCAGACTATGGTAATTACATGAAAATTTTCTAGTATCATGTGAAGCATCATGTAATTAAGCATTAGCATATTTCAAAAATCAAGAGTTATAGAAGCTTAGAATAGGAAAATGAAATTTCATAATAGTACTCATAGACCACAAGACTCTAAAATAAGGGCCCTAAAGAGCTAAATAATGACGTCAAACATCTTTGCCAGTGTATTCCCAAGAGATGTCATGGAATGTATACACAACTTGGGAATGTGACTCCTATTTTATTAATTTCTATTTCTGACATGGCTTCCTTACCTAGAGTCAGAACCCACTAAGTAAAACTAAAACTAAATATCAGAGAACTTCACAACTGTTCTCCCCAAATATACCCCTTTAAGACGAAAAGAAGCAGAACTTTTAAGCAGACATTTTTCACCTTTCAGAGAAAATCTTTCAGTAGCTTAGTATCAGAGAATCTGTGTTCTATTTCCCACCACATTGTAAGTTTGCCATGCAGCCCTGGGAAATATCTTTAATTCCTTGACTTTGGCAAGTTTCAGAATTCCCACCATCCTTCTTGCACGGTGCACATCTGACTCAAGGACAACTTTTGGTGTTGTTTCTTTACTTTAACTAAAGAAGTCACATTCTTTAAGTAGCCTCTGACTATTCTTATACACAAAGGTGCCTCTGGCACCATTTGGAAGAAAATTCCTTTTTCCAACTCCTGACCCATGGTCAATTTCAAAGCTATCGAGACAACTACCTGAACAAACAAGGAAGACAAGAACATGAATTCTACTCACCTCCAGAGACTTCTGTGTTGCTCCTCCAGTTGAGTTAGCAGATGCTCAATGTATTTATTAGAGTCCATGTATTCCTGCACCAACAGAACAAGACAAAACCCCATTATAATAGTCAGATTCTAAGACTCTATCCCTATTCCTATAAGGAATATTTTCAACAAGATCCTCATCGGTCTCAGAGTCTTTGATTCCATGATTTATAAACATAGTCATTTGAAGATGAATATGATTTTCCCTTTATTATCATGTGCTAATTTTTATAAACAAATCTCTGTAGAAAATAAAGTTTTACTGAGTCATCCTAAAAATCCTTCTATTTGCCTAAAAAAGCCTTTATTTCATATTATGTACACTGGAGCCCATGTGATCTACCATATAAAAGTAAATGAGCCAATGTGTTGCTGTTAACCTTTAAAGAATATGAATAAAGTAGAAAATACAGGACTTAATTTTTCTGGTTTGATAATCATCATTTTTAGGTAAAATTCATTTTTAAACTACACAGGATGCTTCATATATGTATCCCATTCACTGTGCGTTCATGTACATGTACAGACAAGGCCACATTCTTTCATCTCCTTATAAATACAAGAAACAGAGTTTGCTTCTTTTGAGGCTTAGAAGATAAATCTTTGGCTTATAAGAAGTTATAAAAGGTAAAGTATATCTTATTCTATAGAAATGTGTATGTGAACTGACTTGTGTAAATCTAACCCTATTTTCAAGAAAAATGTCTGAAAAATTAAGAATTATTTTTTTTTCACATGAGAATCCTACAGGAAAATCCATAGGTTATTACAACTGATGTTTTAAGTTTGTGGCTTCTGAAATATGAGGTTCACATATAATAGAGGTCCAGCTGATAACTTGGAACAAATACAATGTGTAAAACTTCTCATGATATTGTTTCATTCTGATTCTGCTACTTCTTCCCCTTTCTGTTTGGAGATCCTTCCCACAGGCCTCTGCTTCTACACAACAGCTACCTACAATGGACCAGTGGGGGACATTAATCTCCCTCAAAACCTACTGTTTCCTGGGATAAAAAATAAACTGGTAGCTTTGATTAATATTGATATTTTTACTTCTGAAATACCTTTTTATACATAATCTATTATTCTATAGGAATATCAGTATAATAAGGGGGAAAAGGTGTTAGGGGGAGATCTGATACAATGGAAAAAGCCTAGTTTTGAATTTCTGATCCTGGTTCTAAAAAAACCTTTTCCTTTCTAAATAATCTTAGTATACTAAGTATAAAACATTTCAGTGCATACTAAATTATTATCTAGGTAAAAAAAAAAACTTATGAGCTGGGGATGTGGCTCAAGCGGTAGCACGCTCGTCTGGCATGCGTGCGGCCCAGGTTCGATCCTCAGCACCACATACAAACAAAGATGTTGTGTCCGCCAAGAACTAGAAAATAAATATTAAAAATTCTCTCTCTCTCTCTCTCTCTCTCTCTAAAAAAAAAAACTTATACTTCTAAGACATTATTATTCTGCTGCAGATAATTAGCCGAAGTGTTTTATGTCTAATAAATAAACATTCATTTTCAGGTAACTATTGAAGAGTTATTTAAATAAAACTACTATTCAGCATGTTAAAACCAAAGCAGAAGTTCAAACATATATGGTTATGGATTTATGTGTGCTGATCAAGGCTGAAACACGATTTAGAATGCTCATCATTACCAATGACTAATTATTAAGTATTTTCAGTTGAAAAGATTATTAAGACATTTTTACCAAATGGAATCAAATTTCAAATTCATTTACCCATTTTTCATTCAACAATTTCCATCATTTATGATGTGACAAGGGCTATTCTAAGTTCTATAGAAACAGTACTAAGAGAGAAAAACCACTCACTCCCTAGAAGAGTGTGTACTTTTGAAAACGGAGACAAGCAAATAAATGAACAGATGATTTCAGATCAGGTACATGCTATGAGAGAAATCAACAGATGATAAGGAAGACCTGAAATGGGAGGAAAAGCTATTTCACATGAAGTCACTTTTGGAAAACCGAGCACAAATAAGACTGTTATCAGCTAAGACTTGCTAGAGAAGGTTGAAACCATATAGGGAAAAGCCTCCTGAACATTGCAAACAAAGGATTCAGTATATTCAAAGATCTCAAATGTGCCATTTAAAGATCAGAAAAATCCCAGTGTGTGGCTAGGAATAGGAATATGAAGGGCAGAGTCCAAACAAAGTTGGAGTTAGGCGGAAACAAAATCATGCACAGTTTGAACTAAAACCAATGCATGTGTTGTTAATTCTGATTAGCTCAAGTCAGAGGTTGCATCTGAAAAACACAGTGATGACAAATATGTCCTTTGACTCAAAAGAGATTTAGGCTCAATCCTGGTTTGATCTTACTAGCTATATTCCCCTGGGAAAATTAGTTAAGCTTTCTAAATCTTAATTTCTTCATCTTTATCAGAGGGATAAATCAGACTTGAGCTATGAAGGTGTTATAAGGATAAAATTGTGTTAAGTACATATCATCATGCCTGCCAAATAATATGCATAGCTTTTAGCAGGAATTTATTTATTTCTCACATTTTTATTGGTGCATTATATTGTGTGCATGTACAAATATGTAACAACAAATCCCATCAATGTGGATAACTATGCATAACTTTTTACAAAATACTATACATCTCTTCTCAGAAGAGAAGTCACTTTACAAGACGAGGGTATTGTTTATTTTTCTTCTTTTACCAAACTTCAAGAATTTTAAGTGTACAGCTTCTCTGAAGAAGCTGCATCAATATTAAAGATCCTGCAGACTGACCTTGGCTGACTAATAAAATTGCAACTATGGAAACAAGGAATGTTGTAGGTCAAGAGCCAAAATTATCCTTGGACTAGCTCAGGCCTTTTAATAGCCATTCACCTTAACTTTTGTATGTGACTTAACATCTTGTGACTATTAGAGTAAAAAAAAATCTCAGGATATATTCCTAAGCTTAGGAAGTCTGTATTGTGCACCAGCCTTAGAGCCAAGAATGCTGTAGGTAACATCTGAAAGCCATGGGACAGATGGCCCCCACTTTGCTACAGTTCACCTACTTGCTGTCCTACTAACGTATTTGGTGAATGTTGTGTTTTATGTTTTTCTTTTGTTTTGTGACTATAAAAATTCATGTATCCTCTTCTACTGTTCAAAAGGTCACTTTAGGTAACTTGAATACACGTTCCTGCTTGTATTTGGCTCAGAGTAAACTATTTTCTTACTTCCTGAGAAATGCAGTTACTCTTTCACATCAAGTTGACTAATCCTTCTTCCATTACTAATTTATATGGTGCTAAGTTCATATGTGTACCATTGGGTTGGTGAAAACTAAGCCTCCTATAATCTAGAAAAGAAAACTCATCTACAATCTTCCTGGTGTCATTGTACATTATTTGCAACACATTATATATAAAAATTTTCATAGATAATGTTTCCCAACTCTTGTTTTTGCCTTGTTATGTCAAATAATACAGATGTCCGATCATTAAATGTAGCTGTCACTGGATTGCATTCTAAAAGCTATCTCAAATAACAATATAAGCTGTTGCTGTTTAAACTGGATTTATCCAGTTTTTCATAAAAATAACTATGAAGACAAATCTTAAAAACACTTAATAATGGGAAAGTAAGATTATGGATTCTCCATTCCCCATTGCAGTTTTCTTTTCATCTATAGCACTCCTATTTCTAACACCTAGTATAGTTTACCTGTTTAAATATTTGGATATAGCTTATTACCTGTCCCTCCTACCCACCCACACACATAAGGATAACAGATATGAAAAGGGGAAAAAAGATGATGTTCACGCATACTTTTTGCTACGTGAAACCATTCCTCCCCCACCTAAAAGAATTTAGGATTTCCCCTGATACGTTTACTATTTCTGGTCCCTGAATTATAAAAGTTAGATAACTCATGAGAAATCATTTTCATTCTCTAAGATTATGACAGGAGTACTCCCAGTGGGAATTTTGTCCATCTGTTTGGAGATTAACTCCAAGAAAAATAATGGTGGGTGGCACTAGGGCAGGCAATGGTGTACCCTGGGGCTCTAGTCACACTAAGTAAAATGCTCAGGGCTCAGTGGCTACTACTAGAACTTTGGTACCAAGTGCATACTGAAGAATAGACTCCAACATTCCAGAATATCAAAGGCACAGGGAGGTAAGAGTGCTGGACCAATCATTTCAGAACAAATAGAAAAGACACAACACAGAACCATGAAAAATAACAAAGGACAAGAGAAAGATCATCATTCTCAGTCACAAGAAAGGGTGTGAGTCAGAGAACCATTGACAAGAAAATATGAAAGTTTTTTTTTGTTTGTTTGTTTTAGAAAGACCCTTCACATGTTTATTAGTGTCTAGAAAGACATGGTCTCTCTGACATGTGCAGAAAGTTTTTAAAAATACCGAGATGGGCAGAATTAGATTTAAGATTACTGGAATGAGCAGCAAAGATAACAAAATGAAACAAAATTTAAGGGAGCAGGGTGAGCTAAGAATTAAGGAAACAAACTGTGGTAACATAATTGAAATCTGCTTTTTATTTTTATTATGATATGACTCTCCCCACCACAAAGTGATGCTTTAGATATGTATAGGCAATGGGTTTTGGCTTATTGACACTGAAATTTTCACTTTGAATAAAGTCTACTTCCCAGTATCTCATTTGGAAACAAATCAAACTCCCAACCAAGACCAGATCAAGTACATATTCACTAACCTTCCATTACTAATTTCTATGCAATAAGTTAGCATGTGCAAACTCAGTCAGTGAAAACTAAGTCTCCTATAATCTAGAAATTTTAAAAAATGACCTACATTTTTTCTATTGTCATTATATATTATTTGCAACATATCAATGAAAAATGTCAGTTTCCCAAGCCTTTCTTTGCCTAACTCTCTCTCTCTCTCTCTCTGAGCACAAACTTTATTAAAGTTACTGTTACTAACTTGAGGAATATATTTTTCTATTGACTTTCCTGAAAATTACAAAACTCTCATTAGATAGGAATAGGAGAGTCAACAATGATGACACACAATTCTGT